TATGGTTAATCTRTCATATCCATAGATCATTTGACATTTGACATTTGACATTTATGATTCAAATATGATTTTTTTTAATTTTTTTTTGTAATTTTCAGAATTAATAATAAATAATATTTAAATAATATAGCCCTAAGGACTGAATATATTCTTAATTTATGGCTGATCTATTAGTTTTAGAATTAAAAATGAATATTAATTATTTATCTTTTATTGTGATTTTTTCATAAACACTAAATATATTCTTAATATATGGCTAATTTATTATTTCCATAGCTCATTTGTTTTTTTTTATTCAAATTTGAATAATGATTTTGAAATGTGGATCATGAATAAATATGACATTTATATTGAAGAAATATGAATATGATTATGAAGTGCTTTTTAATTTATTTTTATGGTTTACATGAATTATGAAGTGCTCTTTACTGAGTATTTGATATAGCACCTAAAAGGGAAGATACCTAGATATTGGATGGAGATATGGTACTAGAGTAAATAATAATAGACTCCATATCAAATGTAATTTTGTGGGCAGATTACAAAAGGCGGTGGTATAACCCGTCTTAAACATCACTTGGCTAGAAGGTATCCAAACGTTTTTTATTGTCCAAAATACCCAATGGAAATTTCCAAGGAAATGAAAGAACATCTCAAAGAACAGGAGATGTTGAAGAAACAAAAACAAAGAGAGAAAAAAATGTTAGGAAGAACATTGAGGCCCAAAAGGGATGACGAGGATGAGGAAGAAGAAGAAGATGAAGAAGAAGATGATGATGATGATGATGAAATGTCTGAATATGTTAACATTGATGATGATAATGATGATGATGATGAAATGTCTGAATATGTTAACATTGATGATGATGATGATGATGATGATGCAGAGCAAATGGCATTCAATATGGGTAGACATGCATCACGAGCTTCTCAATGGGAACAAGAACAATTACAAAGATTCCATAGCACTAGCCCCAATTTAGAGAATCACAACACCAAGAGGAGGGTTCTTCACAACCACAATTACCTAAAAGCAAGTGTGGTATATTTCGAGCAAAGAGTTGGAAAAAAGCATTTAACATATTTAAGCCCTTTTAGTCCAAAAAGTCCTCAAAAAGTGACACTCCTAATATAAAAGAGATGGACAGATTTTTATATAGAGACAAAGATGCTGGACAAAAAAAAAAAAGGGAGTGTGATGACCATGGATCTAGAAATGATGATAGAAGAGTTGTTTCAAAGTTATTTCTATACAATCATATCCCTACAAATTCAGCAACCTCTCCATATTATAAAATCATGACAGATGAAATTGCAAAAGCAGGAAAAGGTGTACGGGGGACTACACCTTATGAAATTTAGGGGATGTTCTTAGATGAAGAAGTTAAAGAGTTGAAAAACCATTTCAAAAAATTCTTCCAAAAAGCTTAAATATATGGGCTCACTATTATGTGTGATGGTTAGACATGACCAAATAGATTGTTAATCATCAATTTTATGTTGTATTGTAATGGGAAAACAATGTTTCATAAATCTATTAATGCATTTAGTGATCAACATAATGCATAGTATTTGTTTAAGTTGATGAATACAGTAGTTGATGAAGTTGGTGCAGAAAATGTTGTACAAATTGTGACTGGTAATGGAAGTGCTTATAAAACAGTTGGCAAAGTGTTAAAAAAAAAAAAAACACTTGTATTGAACACTGTGTGCATTGCCTTGATTTAATGTTAGAAGACATTGCTAAAGTTTCTATGGTGTTTAGAGTCATTGAAAGGGGAAAAACGATTACTAATTTCATTTATAATCATTCAATTGTTTTCAACTTGATGAGGAGTTTCACAAATAATAGAGAGTTAATACGTTTAAGGCCAACTTGCTTTGCTACTCACTATATTGATCTTGAAAGTCTAAATTCTCAAAAGACAACATTAAAATGCATGGTTGACTCAGATGAATGGAAATCACTGCCACAAGCAAGAACAAAAAAGGGAGAAGAAGTTGAGAAAATTATCAATGACAACAACTTTTGAAAATTAGCTTAACAATATGCTTTGATGACTGAGCCCCTTATAAAAATGCTTCGAATTGTTAACGGTGAAAAAAGAGCAACAATGGGAATTGTATATGAGACAATGCATAGAGTGAAGAAGATGATTGTAAAGAAATTTCCAAATTCAAATAAACACATCTTAGACACTAAACAAGAGATGGAATGCTCAACTCATTCACCATTTGCATAAGACAACTATTTTTTTATTATTTAATTATATCATTAATTTCCAATATTTTATATTTTTATGCTAATTATTAAATGAGTATTTAAGATGTCAATTAACAATATTTTTTTTCTTAAATTTTAACATATTATTTAAATCCAACTTTTCAATATGATTATGATCTTTGTTGTAAATGAGGATTTATTGTCATCTTTGAAAAAAGTCATTATAATGCTAGAGCCAGATGAAACCAGAGTTGCCCTTACCTTACAAGAGGTAAAAGTATAATTGTGTAAGTTGATAAATTATATAATTATATGATACTAATATCTGTTATTTTCAATTTAGGCAAAAATATTCCCTGAAGCATTAAATGGTTTTGCAGATCCTGTGGTCGTTAAAGCAAGAACAAGAACTGACCCAGGTAGATTAAAATTTTAATATATTCTTGATTTTTCTATTCTTTAATGTTAATTATCAAGTTGTTAACTAATTAATTTTATTTTTAATATTATACATTTTATATTTATATTAAAATATATATTTTTGTTTTTTCAGTTGAATGATAATTGATTTATGGCCAATATGCCYATATCTTCGTAAAATAGCAATAAGGGTATTATCACAAACAACTTCTAGTGGTTGTGAATGAAATTGGAATACCTTTGGCCTTATTCATACAAAGCAAATGAATCGTCTATCCTATGACGCTTTGGAGAAATTAGTATATGTCCACTATAACATGATATTGAGAGTTAGACATCTCATTAGAGATAAAAGACATATAGAATGTTACTTCAACCCAATTGATCTTGATGATATATATGATGAAAAAGATCCAGTGATATTTTGGTTAGAAGATAAAAACAAAAAGACAAGAGTCTTAGATGAACCAAGTAATCCTCCAAGACTTGATCCCTATATTGCAAATCAAATTGGGATAAATGTTGATGATTGGGTCAGAGAATAGACAGGCAATAGTGTGACTGATAATGGTAATGAGTCTACTGATGATGGTGGTGGTAATGGTAGTGGTGATAGTGATGGTGGTGATGGCGGTGCAAGATTTAATTCTAGCTATGAATATGATAGAGGTGGCTATGATAGAACAAGTGGTCACAATGAAAGTAATGCTACTAGTACTTTTGTCAAATATATATACTACCTATGGATGATTCAATGCTACGTAGTCAAGAGTAACACCGTCCAAGTCGTAGAGACATGCAATTAATGGATAGTTTTAGTTGTGATTCTTATGGTTATAGAAGATTAGATGAATGGAACCAACATTATGAAAGATCAATGGAAAGTAATGAGATGATGCCTGGATTAAGTAGCATGAGTTTGAGTTCAACTTCTAATTATGGCTAAGCTCTTCTCAGTATGGATATGTATGACACGGGTTGTACAGCTATAACCCTTAGAACTACAAAGAGTTTTGCTGAATGAGCAATTTGAGCATTTCAGACAAATATATACAACATCATACTCTAATAGAATGAATTGGGGCGAATATTGCACTTTGGTTAGATATTAACACAATATAGATATAAGCAATTATGAGCCTACAAGAAACTCCCTATGGTATTGAATTATTGGTTGTCATCACATGATTTTAGGTATATAAGTAAATAACTTATTAAATAATTAATTTTTATTATGCTTTTAATATTCATTTATTAATTATTTTTGAATTGTATGCTATATAAGTTATTAACGGACATTATCATTCATGAAAGTATGTTTTACACTTTTATTACTAAATGTTTTTTTTTTTAATTTTAGACATTAATATTTTGTGTTGAATTATGTTGTACGTGTTGAATTGAATTATTAAATATTGATGTGATTATAATTTTAACAAACATTATTTAGATGTTCACATATGTTGAGTATTTGAGTATGATGTGATTCCTCGTGAATTCTATTATCATATATTAATTTAATGTATATATCTATTAAAGCCTTATATTTAGTGTTATTAATGTATTTTTATGTTATATTTAAGCTTTTATAATGTTCCTGTGCGTATCTTAAGTTTTCTCCGATACACATGCATATCCAAAGCGTATCTCAATACGTTCTTAAAATTGCCTTCCCGATACGATAAGTGTATCCGATAGTTTGAACCTTGATTAAAGTTATTTGAATGATATCGTGCATGGATTAAGATGTGGATAGAAATATCCGTCATCTAAATATAGGAAATGTCATGAATGTTGTAGAAAAATATTGTAAAAATTATGAACATATGGAAATATATGATGATATTTTACAGAACGATAAAAGCATAATTAGATTGTTATCTTGCTTGAAACCATTAAGCAAAACCAAAAAACTAGGATTGATAGACAAATAATACATTATGAAGTTGTCTTGTAGCTTTTAAGAGTTTAAACTTCATAACAAAGTAGCTCAAACAAAACTTAAAACTCAACAGAAAGTGTGAATGATTCTCCTAGATCAACCAAATAATCAGTTGCACAAACAAAAATTAAGAATTGGAGTCATCATTTCCATTGGGTAGACACTAATATTATCATTCCACATTTCAACAATATTGTCCCCAATTCATCATTTTATAATACTATCTCATGTACTCTGCACGGTGCCCGTAGTTTTCATTGCGAAATATGTTGATTCCTGTAATATTTCATGTCAATACCAATGGGATCGATATGTTGTTTGGATATTTAAGAAATATGTGGACATTTTAAACCATATACTTATGCCTAGAATAAAAGTATACGAGGTGATCAGACATGGTCCAACACTGCTACATATTCAATATGTTTTTCCATAAAGTGAGTTTCTGCAGTAGCACAGCTAGCAGTCTCCACACTGGTATATGTATGTTTTCCTCTTCATATTGAAAGTTGGAGAATGTTTTAGGCAGAAGAAGTCACTTATTCAATGCCATCCCTTTCTATATGCTTGCTGGGATTATTTCTTCTGGTGATTCCTTTTTTCACCCTCCTGTTCTTGTTCATTCCTCAAATTATACATCAAGTAGCACTGTGGCAATACTTCTCATAATATGATCTTGTTACACATTCGAAGTGATCTTATATTGGAGAAGGTTCTCTCCCTTTCTCTCTTTTTGGTAATAAATAAGCTTCCAAGGCATTTCCATTTTGACATATCTGATAGAATTGGTCTCTCTTCATGTTCATTCTATAGATGAACCCCACTGTTGGAATGTTGAAATTTGAAGCAGAAAATATCAGAAACAAAAACTTTTACCATTAAAGGGAAAGGAGGGAAGATGAGCAAGGAATATATCTGTTGATTTCACTGCCTAGTACCCTCTTGTGGGTGCCCAAACACTCTCAAGCTTTAAACGAACTACTTGTAATCTCTTCAACAATTCCAGCCCTCCAAGCATTAGGGCACACGAAATTCCTCCATCAAATAGAGAAGAAAAAAAAACCTTATTCCATCATTACTTCAGAATCATCAAATATTTACTCATACTATAAAGCATATTCACACCACTAAAGAAATAAGAAATAAGCAGGATAAATGATATGGCAGGAGAAAAGTGGGATTTTCTGGGGTAATAATTACAAGTTAGCCGCATCATACTGTGTAGTCAGTCAAGGGTGACTGTACTCAGGAGGTGCACTGTCTCTCTCTACAAAACTTCACAGGCAGAGCCTTTCCAATCAATCTACCAACATTTCAACCTGCAATTCACAAAGTGACTTAAAAATGGATGTAAAGTTTCCATTGGAGCTGCACTCCATCAAGGGCGAATATATACCAGCCTATAGAGGCACCATGTCACATCTAGTCAATGGGGATTAAAAATTTCTTGGGCTAAATTTATTCGATTGGAAGAATGTAAAAAATCTGTAACTTCTCTCTGGAAAGGTTATGACAAATAAGACCATGCAGGAAATAGTCTAAGAATGGATGAAAAAAATCATGAAAAGTAGGTTCATTTCCTGCTCAGATATTCGAGATGGGGCTTGATAGGAGGTTTGTCCTTCACCACCCTCTATATGTGTTCCATGACTACAGGTATTTACAATTTGTGCATCAAACCATGCTTTATTTTAGAGCCTCATATAGGTCTTCTTTCCTGTAATTTTGCTCATCTTTCTGTTCATATAGAATCAACTAACAAAAAAAAAAAAAAACACAAATATACATTACTACATATCAATAAACCTACCAGATTGGTGATTTTCAGTAGTCTCAACTCCTTTGCTGGCACTTGGCTGGGCTGTGGCTTGAATCTGCACAAAGATCAAATTCACTTCAAATGTGGAGTTTCTTATTTTTCTTCTTTTCCTTGTTTCAGAATTCAGATAAAGCACATGGGAGAGCCACAAATTTTGTGTCTGCATGTCTTAGTAAATTAGATGGGAACAGACCAACAACAATATTAGTTGATGGCAGGTCCGTTGTATATAACCAACTACAATTAAATGATAGACAAACCTGATGTGGTGCTACTTGCATCTGGTGGAGACTAAAATAGTGTTGATAAGGGTCAGTGAAGTTTGGAACTAGCATCTGGTTGGGATTCGTCATGCCAGTTGAGTTTAATGCAGGATCTGACTGACTAGTTGGCCGTATTCTCGATAGGTCAGCAGTAGAAACAGAAGGTAGATGAAATGCTGGCATTGGGAGCCTCGGACCCATATGAGCTGCTCCAGCTGGTGTAGGCATGGTTGAGCCAGCTAAAACTGAGGGGAATGGCAGAATTGGTCGGTTCATTCCCATATCCATGCCCATCCCCATCCCCATTCCCATCCCCATTGTTGACATATATTGCTGGACACCAGGAAACATCATAGGGACCATACCACATCCCATGGACAACATCTGTGGAAAATAGCTAAAACATAAGTATCTTTTTAAATTATGCAGGAATCCAGGAATGACAGAAAGAGAATAAGAATGTTAGATGTTTAACATTTGAAAGAAGCTATAAAGGTTATGCCATTTGAGACAAAAAAAAAAAAAAACAAATTAGAAATTTGCAAATAAACTGGAGAATTCATATAAAAATATGACTGGGATTTCTTAATTAAAACTTTAAGGGCCAAAATCAATGACAGTAAGAAAAGGTTGCAGGCTATCACTGGAATGAGCTATGTTTTCTGTTGGGGTAAGTTCCAATTTGTTAGCCTCTTGTTCTTATATTAGTATTGGCTCTATTGCTTTATCTTACCTCCCTTAACATTAAAATCATGTAGGTAAGATAAACTTATGAAAGAGGATCTTTTTTCTCCATTACCAAAAATATATAAAAAAATAGTATTGTCACAAAACACTAGCTTGGGAACATAGCACTTGAGACGCATCTCGAGGGAAATGAAAAGTTTGGTTAGTGAATTGATAGCATCTCACTTGGACTGGAGATTGGAAAATAATATGGCACTTGGCAGAGAGAGTATCTAGGCAAGGGTTGAACAAAAATTGGTTTGTATTGGGGAGTTGTCAACCTAAAGATTGGGATGATTTGAATGTAAAATGGAATTATTTGGTTAGGTGTCAATGATAGTCAACACTTCTGTGTACTTATACCTATTTTTTTCACATTGAAAAGAATTAAAAACCAAAAGAATGTGGGTGCATAAGCTTCTCTCAAACTGGAATATAGGTTCATTTATGTGGACAATTATCTGGACATGATTTATCACTCACCACAGCTACAGTGTGCTTTCTGGTTATTGCTGACATAATGAGCCAAGGACACAGCTACAATCAATGAATAATAAAGTGAGATGAAACCCCATCACATTAGCGCACAATAAAAGATTTAACCCTCTTAAAAATCTTCCAGTGGCTACCTCTAGAATCTAACATGCTTGAGCACTCTGTGGCAGTTGGAAAACTTCCACATAGATTTGAAATGTTAAGGGTTTGCACAAGGAAAAAGGATGAAAGCAATAATTTTGAAGAAGGTTTGGGGTTACAATTAAAATACACGATTGGGCACTGGCAAGGATTAAGATATTGGTACAAAGGGATAATATTGACAAAACAGTTTTAATTATTGTACAGTTAGATGAATATGGAAACACTCATACACCAAACTTACAAAATTAACATATATAATGTGTTATGCACTACTTTTTTGCCAAAAATGTGTGTTATTCATGAATTGACATTTTCTCAACAAAATGACCCAAATTGTGTTTTTTTCAAAAATATGGAAAAATACTAGAATAATTCTGGGAAAATGTATAACAAGTGAATAATTTGGTTTATTTTAAGTACAAGAAAAAAATCCGGAACTTATAATTTTATATACAGTTTAAAATTTTAATTACAACTTTTTCATAGGAATACATTTAACATATTGTATACATATTAGATGCAAATCAATCCTCAAATATTAGGTGTAAATTTGAAGATTAGAAGAAAAAGGAAGAAGAGAAGTAAGAGCAGCAATACAAGAGAAGAAGATGGCGAAAAGAGAAGGAAGAAGAAGCAGAAATTGAATCGTCTCTCCTTTCTCCTCTAACCCTTTTTTATTAAGAATTAAAGTTAGAGTAATGACAAGTATGCCCTTAAGTGGGTGGCCAGCTAGGCAGTAACATAAAGAGATTAAACAAAAAAGAAATAACAGGCCCATTAAGGGAGGCCCATTAGCCAACACTAAAAGAAAAGATATTACAAGAGAAGATACTAGGGCCCATTCGGCCCAGTCTCTTTACAATATTTACATATTTACATACAAAAAAGGTTAAAAAAATACATATTATCATTTTCTGAATCATGCTTATTTGACTGAACTTTTTCCTGTATTCTTTGTTCTTGATTCCAATTGCACACAAAAGCTTACTGTATCACTACTATGCTATACAAATATTTACAAACTATGGGGATACACTGTACTAAGATACACAAGAAAATGTTAAAAAAACTATGTAAATCATACAGATACATAAAAAATATTCATCTTATACACAAGAACAATAAGGCAAAAGAAAATCTAAATGCATCTATTTCATCTACCTTTTAAAAAGAAAATCTAAATGCATCTATTTCATCTACCTTTTAAAAAGAAAATAAAGCTTTTCTTGAACAATGTTTAGATACACCACTGGTTATTTTCCAAAATTAAGGAAAAATATTCATAATAAGTATCAGTTAAAAATTTTCAAGTAGAAATGTATAAATTATGAAGATTTTGCACAAGTCAACAAAAATTTCCATATGATATACTTGAATAAACAACCATTTTTATGATTTTATATCTACAGAAAATAATATTATATTATATTTTTCTAAAGAACTGTCAAGTCATTTATATACCTATATATGTTGTATAATTGAATAATCAAATGGAATAAATTGTTGCGAACCCTATATGTATATGGTTGGGATAAAGATTGTTGGGTTGACTCTTAATTTTATTAGACCTTTTATTAGCATCCAGGTCATGTGCTTAGATTGATGAGTGGTAAAACTAGAAAGGACAGTGTCAGAAATGAAGTCATACAAAGGAACCTAGGAGTAGCTCCACTAGGTGATAAAATGAGAGAAAGTAGACCGAGATCGCTTGTTCACATGTTTAGAATACCATCTACAGCACCCATTAGAAGTGATCTATTACATGTTGAAGGGGCTATAAGAGCTAGGGGCTGACTGAAAGCACATGAGTGGAAGTAGTAAGAAATAATTTAAGCACTCATAATTTTACAATGAATATGGCACTGGATAGAACGAAATGGCAAAACAGGATTCATGTAGCTGACCTCATATAGTTGGGATAAGGCATAGATGATGATGATCCAAGTTTCAAGCCACATCAAAGCAAATTATACACATGGATACAGTGAGATGCTCAAGAATCTTGTGAGGACACAGTACTCCATAAAAAGAAACATTCCATAGCGAGAGCAATTTCCAACTCTTAACTATATCAGTTGAAAGATAGAATCTCAAATGTAGGCTGCTGTAGAGTTCTGATTGGAGGGAGGAACAATCATGTCTTTGTGTCCATGTACAGTAATCAGGAAATCACAAGGCTTCAAAATCTGACTTCTTTAGTTTAATAAGTAAGAAGATTTTGAATTAAAATTTTCATTTTTAATTTATTAATAAAATGAAGAATACATTAGTCTCCATTTATGATAAATTTTGATTAAATTCCTAGTTTAAAGTTAAATTAATTTCCAACAAATTTCTGAAAAGAAATCTTCTAGATAAATAAATCTTAAAATGTATCTCCTATCTTCTTAAAATTACAATTAAAATAGCAATTTCAATAAAACAAAATGTAAATTAAATCCAACGCTACTTTCTTAAACAAATAGAGATTTTGCAAGATCTTTATTTTCCACATGGGATCAAATAATAATTCTACAAACAACTAATAGTAGGAATGTTATGATGACCCACCATGGGCTTGAAGTAGCCAGTGAAGACCCATTACCCGCCCTTTTTTTATTTGAGAAAGATAAGTTAAATTTTATTGATGAAAAGATATAACGATACAAGTTACAACAAGCCACTTGCCAGAGCTCCAAAACTAAAGAGCCCCACTCAAGCAGCACAGATCACAACAGAACAAGATCAACATAATAAATAGATCATAAAGGGGTATGCATGTTAGACAGTTTTGTATGCCCTTAGCTTCAATCAAGAATGATGTACTTTATKAATTTAYTGYAAATGAATAAAAGTACATATTTGATTCATGTTCCCTTGGTATGTTTCTGTGTAATACCCTTAAACTGGACACTTATTGAGACTCGTGTTAGTTTAGAATGTTC